CTGTTCTTGTGAGGTCATGGTCATATTAGGTTTAGGGCCCATCCTAACCCAGTAGGACCTCGTTTTCACTTGATTACATCTGCAAAAGATGTTATTTCCAAATGAGGTCATAGTCACAGGTTCCAGGTAGATAGAAATTTGGGTGGTAACACTGTTCGATCCAGTCCATCTACTTTGCTCAGTTCCACCTGACGGGGTTTTGGACTAAGTCGTTCATAAAGGGAGGGAAGGAGGGGGGAAGAGCAGAAAGAAACTCTCCCAGTTGCTTTGAGAAGAATGTTCTCTATTGCCATATAGTTCCCATTTTCTAATCTAAAATTAGGGCCCTCTGCTGACATACGGACTCTTGGAAAATTCAGGGCTCGGAGTGAGCCCAGGAAGGCCCTCATGGTGCCGTCCTAGGACTGTGGTTCCTTGTGGGAACTGCACCCCTTAAGACACCCCTTTCTGTAAAGGGTTGCAGCCTTTTACTCTGATAAGAGAAGCCTCCCTCCCCTGTTCGGTGCCGCCTGGGCTGGGGGCTCTCCCCACGCCCCTTATGGTCCCTAGCTGCCCAGCTGTGTGAGGCAGTGCTGGCCGTCCGTAGGCGTCGGCTGCAGCCCCCAAGCCGGGTGAGCTCTGGTTGGAACTGCGCTGTCCAAGAAGACAGCAGGGGGTCAGTGCCAGACTCAGCCGCCTTGGGGAAGCCAGCCACGGCTCAGCGTGCCCTCCCTCATGCATCGCCCTGATGGTTGGCAAACGACCCCTACGCCCTGCTCTTTCTCACTTACTAACTGATACTATATTATGAGCTGTAGTAACTTATGTCTTTTATAGAATGTATAAAAATCCACACATGGAATATATAACTTTATATGTTGACTCTATATTAACATGTGTTCTGAGCATTTTCCCATACAAATGAAATATTCTCTGATAGTGAAAATATTCTGTTATTTGAGCCTACTACATATAACCATCTTCCTATTGTCTAGTATTTGGATCAGTTTAAATTTTCTGCTCTAAATAATAAATAATGTTATACATAACCCTTGACCATAAGTATGTGTCTGTGGAAACTATTAATTATTAGATATCCACTATAGACCAGACAGAGACTAGGTAGTTGACACAATTAGTTAGTCCTTACCACAAACCATCTGGAAGTTATCTCCATTTTTCAGATGAGAAGACGGAGGCATGAGGGTCCTGAGGTCTGCTACCCTTTGCATTTGGTTTGTGAAACAGTGCCCTGGGGGGTAGCCGTGGTTGGGGTGGAGACACTGCCAGAACTGAGCAGCCCCCACAGTCGTGGAGAAAGTAGCAGAGACTAAGGGATTTCTGAGTTTTAGGGGAATGGCAGGATGGTTTCTGCTTTAAGGTCACAACTCCTGCATCCTAGTCTCGTAAGATCTGGTGGTAAAGAAGGGCACTAGCCACAGGCGCTCTCCCGGCCCAGTTGTGGTGGACACAGGAGCCTTGAAGTCGTCTGCCCTGGTTTCCCCCCTGCCCAGGGGTGGCCATGCTGTCCCGGAGTCATAGTGGCAGTCAGACCGTGAGTGACGTTCTGCATCATGGCCACCATTCTACCAGATGATGAATAAGGACACTGCTAAACCCTGTGGAGATGATAACCACTTATTAGGAGGTTCCAAATCAAATGAATTAGCTGGGAGTCAGATAAGGTGGATTATCATTAATATCCAGCTATTTCTTCGGGCTGGCTTCTCATTATGAGTAAGTTCATTGTTGCAGGGCTAGTTGAAATCAGTATGAATCAGGGAAAGCTTTTCGTAAAGGGTAGATTTAAAAACTGGCTCCTTAATTCCAGTAGAGCAGTGAGTTGGAGAAGAGATTTCAGCAGGCTGGCGTGGGGTTTGCAGGCATGGGGATTTGCACCCTAGAGTTTCTGATCTAAAAATAAGGGAGGAGCAAAATGAGCTCAGAGCCAAGTGTTTGCTTTGCATGTACACTGGAGGGGGTGGAAATGGACCGATACCCAAACTGAAACGTTTTGGTGGTTTTCAGTACTTTACAAAACTTATCGTGGAATTAACATTACGAGGTGGGATATCTGCTTTCTGTGGGGTGTTTTTGTGCTCCTGGAATAGTTCTCCAGGTTAATCAGGAATAGGCCGGGCAGGGCACACTTTCTTCCTCCCTTGCTTTCAAAAGAGCCCTCCAGGCTCCAGGTGGCCCCTGCTGCAGACCAGGTGACCCTGCTTCATTGCAGAGGCAGAAACTAAGATGTAAGTACTGGAGGATACTCTCAGTAACTCAAGGAGAAAAAAAAAAGACAACCTTCCAGCTCTTTCCTGTTGCTTTTTAGAGGGGGTGGAGATGGAGGGGTGGGGAGTGGAAAAATATTTTCAGTTTGGAGTATGAGAGTGGGGGAATATTGTTTTCCTAGTACACATTACAAAAATAAAGCTCTGGCCGGACAGGATATGCTGTATGTCTCGCTAATTTCCACCAGCCAGGAAGGTACTAAAAAGGGCAGGAAGGGTGAATTAATGGGGGGGGAGGGGGCCTGAGGAAAGGAGAAGGGGAGCTGCTTTCCATTCTTGGGGCCCAGCTAGTGCAGTGTTTGCGGGGTGTGGTGCCCTCTCAGCCCTGGCTGGGGGCCCCTTTAGCACAGGCCCCCAGTGCAGATGCTGTGTCAGACTGGGAGGCATTGGACCCTCATTATGTGGACCCCAACTTGGCCTCATGGTCCAAAGGCTAAGTGAGGTGGGAAGACTCCTTCTGTTTATATCCCAGTGCTACCACTCAGTAGCTCTGTGACCTTGGGCAATTTACTTAACTGTATATGTCTGTTTCCGTGTCTGTAAAATGGAGATTTCAGGAGCACCTGCCCTATAGGGTTGTTGTAAATCCAGTGAACTAATACTCATGACAAGCTTAGAACTTGCCGAACTCTGTCCAGCTCCGAACACTTGCCAGCTGTTGTTAATGCCATCGTGGTGTAGCTCTGTGCCTGCCGACTGCTGGTGTTTTCCAGGGCTCGCAGGTCTAGACGGGGATAAGAATCACTCGTATAGAGAAGCCCCCCCCATTCACCAACTATTTGCCGTCTGAAAGGTGATCAGCCTTTCGGAGTGACTCAGGCTTTTCTCAAAATAGAAGTTTTAAGGCAGGTGGGTAACCTGTCTCTTCAGGAATCCCACAGGGTGTCTTGTGCAGCTCTTTATTTTTTACCAGACACCGACGACTCTCTGTGATTTGGAAAGACTAGACCTGGCCTTGAAACTATGTGTCCACCCCTGGGGACAAATGGTTCCTCATTCACACTGGCCACACTTCAGGTGTTCGGTAACCACCTGTGGCTGGCAGCTGCTTTGTTTCTTGTTGGTCTGTGTGGATACAGAATATGTCCAGTATTTCTGGGCAGGCTGGTCTATATTTACTGGGTGCTTGCTGGCTGCAAAGTGCGAGACTACATAGATCTACATGTCAGCATAGGCAGCAATGTGAACACAGTGACCAGCTAGAAGGGAGTGTTTGTCTCAGGGGAGTAAGGCACACAGAAATGAAACAAAGACTTTAAGGCTGCCTAAAATACATGTCACAGGCAGTGTGTTTCATGCATCAAGGAAAATTTGTAGTTGGTCACGTTAGTCCAGGAACAGATGGCATTTGAACGATCCGTAAAGGGCTGGTTGGCTATTTCCAGACCTTTCTTCTGGATATAGCCTTTTATTTCTAATTGCCCACCCAACAGCTTTTTTTGGATATTCCAAAGATATCGTGAATTCACCAGACCCTAAACCTATCTCAGTATTTCTCCACTTAAACCCTCCACATTCCCTGGTGCAGAGAGTGGCATTACCACCTGCCTGGCCTGAAGAAGGACAAAAGGAGGTCACAAAAGTTCAGATCAGTTTGAGAGGGAAAGGGGTCAGGAATTTAGAAAGAAGAGCCTGGTGGCCTCTGTGTTTCTCTGATCTTGGAGGCCAGATCGCCTGCTGGGATCGATGAGCACAGAGGTGAATTACAGGGAATGTGAGGGTGGAAAGATCTGACTGCTTCTGTGCGGACGGGGACCAGGAGCTGATGAGGGAGGAGCAAAAATGACCTGCAGAGACTTGGGGGCCCAGGGGAGATGGTAGGTAAGCCCATCCTGGCATCATGGTTACGTGGGTGGCATTCGGCCCATTCATGAATTTTTGTCACATGAGCAAAGAAGAAGAGGGAGGCAGCGAGACCCATGTGGATGGAGAAGTGGCAGGGCAGCTGTGTTGGGAGGAGAATGGAGCAGAGGCTGGGCCCTGCAGGGACAGGGTGTGGGGAGGTGGAGCCCATTGTGCAGGGATGGACTGTCTGGTCCCGGACCCTCTCTCAGAGGAGTGCACATTGGCATAGACAGAGCACGATCCCTATACCTTCAGGGGTAACTGCCTGCATGGAGAACTCCTGTTCTCTTTAGACCACATGGAGAACTGTTTCCTAGAATGACCGTTGGGTCACCAGCGATTTATCTTGGTGTCTTTCAAGCACACACATGGAGGCCTTAAGCCAGTTTCTCTGTCTGCCTAGAGTCTGATGACACAGTGCAGGTTGCTGTCAGAGGCTAAATCACACTGTTTCGGGTACCCCAGTAGTTTGTGGTCAGAGATAGGGAAATTTCTGTAAAGAACTTATGGTACTATCTTCTAGAAGGATATAGAAAACATGCCTAGTAAGAAAATTGTGGGTAGGATGGTGTATATGCAAAACTCTAATTTGGATGACTCTTTGCATGGGAAACTTGCTCCTTGGTAATTGAAGGAGGGCGTTTTAGAACACTAATTTCACATGTACTTGTATTCCATTTATGACTAAATCTCTTCACACTGAGCTCCCCTTTTTTCCAAGATCAATGGGAGGTGTTTATTAAACATACGGGATCTGGGGCCATTGGGCTAGTGGGTATGGAATGGCAGCAATGCCCACATTTAGCTGCATATCAGAATTGCTCTAGGGTAGTAAAACAGGTTCCTGGTTCCTAAATCCTGGAGATTCTTTTTCTTTTAATTCCCCAGGTAAGAACACTGTGCAGGCAGTTTTGGGATGCTGATAAAAGTGAATAGAAAAGTACAGCAAAGTATAGCTATGGGTGATGATATATCGAGGGTGGTCATTTACAGCAATCCTGCCCCATCACTCAAGGTTGGGTTCCTGAAAAAAAAATCCACATATTAGGGGAACTCATAGTTGAATAGTTCAGACCTTGAGGAAAACTGTGCTAGAGACTAAAATTCTTAATCTATGACATGCATCTTTTTAAAGTTCAGTAAGATAAAACAATCAGTACATGATGTGAGGACTACATCAGGGATGCAATGGATATCACACACTTCCATTGCTTATTAACTCCCCTGAAGTTTACTAAAACTTTAAAAAACTGGTTTTGCATTAGTGTGGACAGTATGTACACTGAGAGGCCTGCGCCTGCTGTGCCCAGCACTCTGTCCAAATGTTTAATGTCTTTCTGCCTTCATAACTGGTGATTGTTGACTTCCTTCTCCAGGGTCCCACCAGAGTCTATAGGGGCATTTGAATACTGCAGGTGGAGAAGTAGTAAATACAGCCAAATGGGTAGGCCCCAAGCCCCCGGCCACCCTGATGTCCAGAGTCACATTATCTTAGCACTGAACATGATGTTCTGATGCCAAGCACATGCTGTTTCACTTCTTTCAGGCATTTCGCTTCTGGCTTCCAGGAGTCAGTACAGTTCTAAGGGTTTGCTGCTTCTCACCTGCCTATATCCTTTTCTTCCGCTTTCTGCTTTGCCCCATTACATCCCCCACCACCTGCCACCCACGCGCTCCAGCATCTGTATACACACCTGGGCAGCAGTTAGCCTACTGCAACGCTTTTGATGCTGTTGACCACAGGACCAGCGTAAGGTAATGTAAACCTGAAACAGAAGGTTAATAAGACAATGCTTACTCTTATTTGGAAGATGTTCATAGTTTCTTTCCTGTATTCTTGTACATTAAAATTAAAGTGCTAACCTTAAAGATCTAGTAATGCTGATCTTCATCCAATAAACTGGTTTCATGCCCCCTGAATAGGTTGCTAAACACTGTTTGGAAAACACTGATGTAGAGGTTTTTGTGCATATTCTTTGGAGTCAGGCAATCTGCGGGTTTGAATCCTAGCTTTACCACTGAAAAGCTCCTCAGCTTGGAAAAACTGCTTCATCTCCTCTTCTGTGAAATGGAGGTATGATACTCTACCTCAGATAGCTTGTTCGAAGATTGAATGAAATAATGCACGCAAAGCACTTGGCCTACTGTCTGGTCCCTGAGAAGCACTGGTATGAATGTGACGTTGATGATGATTTGCAATTTTCACCTCCAACGTCCTGTCAATTCATGTAATTTTTAGCTGAAACTCTACATTTGCTGGAAAGGTACATACAAGTTGGTGTGGGGAGTGTAGAATGTCATGTAAGAGGAGCTTGCATCTTGGAAGTTACTGTATATCCATAAAACATTACTACTAGAAATTGCTGTTATCTTCCTACGAGTGTGTCACCGCTTGTGTTTTTTCCTGCGCATTCCCATAGCCACCCCTCTGGACAGAGCAGTAGCTTCTAGCTTAGCTTCTTCCTTCCCTTTGCCCCTGTGTAGAGGGCTGCTTGGTTCACGATGGTGAAGCACTGTGTTTCCGTCACGACACTCAAACATTTTGGCAGACTTGGTAAACAAGCCCATTCTAGCCAGGCATTTGAGATCCTCTAAGAAGACCTGGGTTCAAATCTTGCTTTCTCACCCAGGGGCCTGGGGGACTTGGACATGTTTTTCTTATTTTTCCAGTTATCTTTTCAGGCTATACTTTTCCCCATCTCTAAAATGGGGATACTAATAGGTAACTAGTTAGGACAGTTGTGAGGGTTGGTGATGGTTCATGTAAAATACCCAGCCCTTGCCTCTCACGTGCCAGCTGCGGCTTCCGGAGCTTCACGCGTGCCGGTGGGTAAGTCAGTTGCTCTGTCTACTCGAGCAAACAGTCTAACTCAGTCCCTCTTTGGTCATTTATTCCAGCCTTTCCCTGGCCTGGCTTGCTTGCTACTTTTTCTCTGCTAGGAAATTTCCTCCCCATCCTATAAGCTCTTCCTTTACCATAAAGCTTCCCCTTACAAGCCCATCTAATAATGATTTATGGATTCCTTATGAACTAGTCACTTAGTTGGCAGTTAATCGCATGGCCTTCTGATCTCTTTTGCAGTCTTTCATTATTATAATTATAGTATTATTAGTTAGCTTTATGTGATTGATGTCTCATTCCCCCAGTTGAGTTATTAATTCCTTGAGGGTAGTGATCATGTCTTACACATCCTTGAGGCCTCCCTGGTGTTCAGCACAGCTCCTTGCAATAAACTGTGTTTGATAAATATTTGTTGAAACACCGGATGACTGGATACGGCCAACATAGGAGAAGAAGGTCCAGTTCAAGTTGTGAGCAAAGGTGGAATGGATGAAAATAGATTTGAGCTAGCTTTTGTTGGGAGGGTAGCATTTCTGTAGGTTGGTAAGAGGGGCGGGCACATGGCTGTGTCAGGAGGGCCAGCAGATGAGAAGTGCCCTTAGGCGTACGTTTCAAACAAATGATGCAGCTGCGAAAGAAGTGGGACTGCGTACTTGTGCAGTCAGCCTCTGCAGCACGTGCTCAAACGTAAGCCTCGTTGTTAGCGTCTCCGTTCCCATGCCTTTGTCTTCACCCTTTCCCCAGTTGTGACCTCTCTCCTGTGACCCTGGAACAGGGAACTGAGGAGCTGTGGGACCACTGGTGGAAATTCTCAAAGTTTTTCTCTTGAAGATGTCTTTATTTCCTCTTGATTCTTGACGGAAATATTCACTGTTTATAAAATTTTTAAATAGCAGTTATTTTTTTTCAGTACTTTTTTTGGGGGGAGGAAATAAATTATGTCCTTTTATTAAGAAGTTTGCCATTTCTGGTAATGCTAACAGTTCTTTTTTTGCCTTCCACAAATGTCTCGCTTTGCTACTCTTAATTTTATACAATAACCATGTCAAGGAAAATGATTTTAAATTTACAGTAACTTTAGCTTACTTGTGCATACTAATTCCATTCATGAATTACTTTGAAAGAAAATTTTTAATTAGATAAATGCAAAAAAAGTTTTTTTTTTATTTAAGAAATTTTTTCTTTCTGTACTTTTAAGATATCTTTCCATTGTCTTCTGTCTCCCATTGTTTCTGTTGAGTAGTCACTGTAAGGCTTTGGGGTTTTGTGGGGGTTTTTTTTTTAAAGGTGGTGAGTCTTTTTCCCTCTGGCTGTTTTTAAGAGTTTTCTCTATATTTGCGGCTTTCTGTAAGTGTACTACAGTATGTGTATGTGTGGTTTTATTTTTATTTATCTTTTTGAGGTTTGTAGTAATTATTAAATCTGTGATTGGAAGGTAATTGCTATCATCTCTTCAAATACTGCTTCTGCCTCATTCTTTCTCTTGTCTTTTTGGAACTTCAAACTACCCATATCTTAGACCTTTTAAGTTCTAAACAAAATCTGCTGTGTATTTAATGTTCTTACATTTTCCACCCTTTTGTTTCTAAGTGCTTCATTCTGTTTATTTTCTGACTTGTCTTCCGGGTTCACTTATTTGTTTGTTTTTTCAGTGATGTCCAGTCTATTGATAAATCTATCCACTGAGTTCTTAATTTTAATTATTTATTCTTTAGTTTTAGAAGGTCTGGTTGCTTTTAATAGTTTTCAGGTCTCTGCTAAAGTTTTCCATCTTGTCTTTTATTTCCTTGAACATATTAGGTACAGTTGTTTTAGAGACTGTATCTGAAAACATGTGGTATCTGTACATCCATTATATCTGTAGAAGACTTGTGTCTGTATCCCTTGGGTCTCTTTCTGTTATCCATTATTTCCCTTGGTTTTCTTTCTTTCTTTTTTTGTCTTTTATCCTTGTATTCCTAGCTATGTTGATCGAATGCTGGCCATTGTATATGAAAAACTCCAGAAATAATATGAGTCCTAGGATAGTGTTATGTTTCTCAAGATATGATTTACATTTACTTCTGATAGTTCCAGATCACTTTAATCTGGTCAGGGATTGATGTGATTCAAAGTTTTATTTGTTTTGTTCCATTTAGTTTTAACTTGCATAGTGCTAGTATGTGGGTTTTCCAGGACTCCTTTTCCTAGTTGGGCCCTGATCTTTTAATTCATTAGTGCTTTAATGTGTCAAGAGCGCTCCTCAGCCTCTATGCCTGCAGCCTCCACTTCTGGAGTCAGCAGATGTCCCTGGGCTGGGAGAACGCCCCATTATCAGGCTTCCTTCCCTGGGTTTCTTTCTTCCCTCAGATCTTGCCCTCCTAATTCTTTACTACCCTTTTAGCTTTCTGATGCTTTTAAACAGTTTTATAAAGGCATGTTTTCTCCAGGTTTCTTAGTTATTCACCATGGAAGTTAGGTTTTGAATTACCTATTGTATCATTACCAGAAGCACCCCCCTCTTTCTCAGGCAAGGATTTTATTACCTTAAATCTAGCAGGGATGTTTAGAAATCTCTAGAACAGAACATTAACATGATTTAAATGATATTTAAGAAAGATTGATATGTCAGGGATATGCAAAACAGAGAGGAGTTGGGAAAGGTTTAGTAAGAAAAACAGTTAAAAGAGCACCAAACTAAGTGCTTTCTAGAGTAAGACGAAAGCAGACATTAGGATTTCCAAGCCTGGGCATTTCGGACAGACCTGAATGAGAGCCTTGCCTCCCCTGCATACCATCAGGCTGCCTTTGAGCAGTTCCCTGCCTACCCCTCATCTATAGTATGGGGCAATAAAGCCCCTACCTCCTAGGGTTGTAAGAGTTACATAAGAAACTCATACAAAACGCTGGTTTTTATGTGTAGCATATAGCCATTGTTCTTACTGTTCCAAGATCCAGACTTCAGCTATTTAGGTCAAAATTCAAGATCACTGTTAATGGCACCGATCAGGCCTGTGGCATTGTCAGCTTTATGGAGGACTGACTCTTCACTTCCTGTGAATCACAGTGAACAGCTTGCATGTGTTTATGCAGCATGCCTGGCACCAGCAATGTTCTAAATACCTGCCATGTACAGAATTGATTTATAGCCCAATGTCATGGTTTTGAAGATGATCCCAACCCCAAATCTCAAAGGTGTAATGATAGGTGATTTTAGAAAGTGCCTTTGGCAGGCTCGAGGGTAGATGATTCATATTGTAGGTTTATGGAACCATAAAATTTTAGCATTTTGTTCTTAAAAACAACCCAGGGTACCAGAGGAGACATTTACAAAAAAAGATAAATCAGATTATGAGCCTTCATGTTACAAAAGGACTCTTAAAATCATAGATAACCTCAGAAATTATCTCTTTGGAACCTCTCATTTTCCTGGTCTGATCAAAGTGTGGAGCAGAGAAATTGAGTGACTGGCCCAAAGACACACATGAGAAATGGCAAAGTCAGGACTGAAACACATGCCCCAATTTCTGGTGTATTTGGTTCTCTTGGCAAAAATAGCACCTCTGTGTCTTCTTTACCTAGTTCCCTGCTTTCTTAAACCCTGCTCAGATTTCATGTGGCCTGGGTGTTGGTGCTCACGGGAAACTGCCTCACAGAAGGAAGACGCATTTATCACCTTGAATTTCATTGCTGGAAGCTAGCAAAAACATGCTGAGTTAGCATCTTTTCTCAGTACTCTGTCCTCTGACCCATGGTGACTGTCACCCCAGCCTTTCAGTCTCTGGAAATGTAATTTATTTTTAGTGTCAACTATATGATGCATTTCTGGTGCTAGGCTCAATGTAGAATCCACAGAAGCAAGGGTGCAGACTCATCCCCTGAGAGTCCTGAGAAATCTATGCCAAACTGCAACCTTTTTCATCTGTGTCATGTGGCAAGACCCCTGGTAATTCAGGACCTGTTCAGTGTGCAGGAGGTGGGGCCAGGCTATAAAATCAAGTTAAAAAGAGGAAGTGTCTTCATATGAAAAAGGGTTAGCTTTTCATTGTGTATCATCGGGGATGTCCTAGCTATTTAAAAATAAACAGAGAATCCAAATAAGTGAAGACCTTTATAACAGAGTATGGTGCATTCTGGTGTGTTTGCTATATTTGCTTTTCCTAAAAACCTGCTTATAATTAATGACAGTCCTGATTAAAAATTTAGAAAAAATTTTATATGTGTGATTTCTGTCGCATTTTGGCTATGTATGTGATAAACGTTGAAGTTCGGCTGAGCTTCATCCTTACTAGAAAGAGAGTCTGTGAAGACAGGATGGACCAGCTGATAGATGGTACAGTGGGATCTGACCTACTGGGACAGATGGCAGAGGTCTGCCTGCTGGAATGACCAGACTTTGCAAGAAGTCACAGAAGAGCGAGGTGACTCGATTAAAAACAAAAGGTAATCTAGAGCCTCGTTCCTCAAAGTGTGGCCTGAGGATTTAGGACTTTTTAGAAACAGAATCGCAGGGCTCACCTGGACATACTGAACTGAGATTGGTATGTACGTTAAAGCTGGTCTAGATTTTGTAATCAGCTCTTACCTTTACTATTAACAACATTGGTCATATTCATTCTCATAAATATCCAGTTTTCTGTTCAGTCTTGGGATGATTACCAAAGTACTAGGCATGGTTTTCCTGGCTTTGCACGGTCCGCCTGCCTCTGTCACCCTCCTTGTGGCTGACTGGCAGCTGGCCCTCCTGCCCCAGGCCCTTTGCAGCACCTCCTCTCCTTCCCACTGCCTCAAGGTACCTTCTTTTACCTCTCCACCAGGTTGAGCCCTGTTAACCCGATTGAGATTACCTTCTGTAGTAGTTTTCTAGGGCCAGATTGTGTGGCTTAAAACAAAAGAAATGTACTCACAGTTCTGGAGGCCAAAGTATTCATAGGGCTAGTCTCCCTCCGCGGCCTCTAGGGTGGATCAGTCCTCACCTCTCCCAGCTTCCAGGGGCTCCAGGCCTCCCTTGGCTTGCGGCTGCCTCACTCCAGCCTCTGTCTTCACGTGGTATTCTGTGTGTGTGCGTGTGCCCAGATTTCCCTCTCCTTATGAGGACTTTCAGTTTCTGTGAGTTCTGGTCACAACATTTTGTCAAGGGATCAATTTGTACTCTTACATTGTGTGTGTTTCTGTTTAAAGACTCCTTTTTAATACATATTACTGATTTGCTCCTGTTGAACTCCTAGCCCCCAGCACTACATCTCACGCCTGAAGGAGGGTCACCAACGCACCTACTGGCTCCATCAGGCCCGTCACCACCTTCCTGCTCTCAGGAGCAGTGGACATCACTTGCGACAGGCCACTCCTGGGGGCCTTTTTAAAACGTAAAACCACCAACAAAAACAGAAGTGTTGCCCTAAATAGACCGTGGAAAGGACATTTGTTTAGAGGGTGGGAGCTGAAACAAGGCCGAATGTCTCCTGTGCCAGGAGCACATGCCTTGGACAACTTAAATTTCCTCTTCTTTGTAAATGACCATGACGGTGGCCTAAGGACTGATGTGGGCGTTACAAACACATTTCAGCGTCTCGGGGGATTTGCATATGTAGCATCCACAAATGATGAGGGTCCTCTCTGTCTCCTCACATAGGCTTTCCTTTTGAAAACAGAAAGCTTTTTGAAATATTTCCAGTGACCATTTTTTCCAGATGAGTTTTTGGTGAAAAACAAGCAGGAGAAAATACGTTATTATAATGATGAGTTTGGAAGTGGGCATTTACGCATCCCCACCATTTTTCCATATTGCTAAGCTTAGAGCAAGTGGCTGCACTATGTCCATAGCAGTTCTGCCACTCAGGAGGTCCCTGCAGAAGACCTTATAGCTGCCGTAGCGACACTGCCTTCTGCTCCTCTCTCCACTTTCTTTACTCCTTCAGACCTCGCTGCTCCACTCCACGTCCTGAGATCTTAGGAGGGGTGATCTGACTGGGCTTGGGTACCGGCTTGAGCAGAGTCTTCCTATCAGCCACTGCATGTAGTGGCGACAGCTTTTCCTGAGGTCCCCGGAATGCTCCTGTAGCTCCTCTGGTTCTGCATGCAGGGCTCTTCTTTCCTGGCTCCTGTTGGACTGGGACATCCTGCACGGCAGGCACTGCCTTACCTTTCCCAGTTCCTGGAGCATCATTCTCGAGAAATATCTATAAGTGGGTGGATGAGTGACTGAATTGAGCAGAATGACTTGAGGCCCACTAAGAGCAGTTGTACTGGGGGCTCTCTGGGGACTGTCCCTGAGGTTCCTGTTACTTTTCCCCCAAACAATGGTGACCTGAGTCCGTATGAGCGGACGGAGCGAGCCTGCAGGGGCAGTCCACGGTGGCTGAGCTTCAGAACCGCCCAGTTCCTGTACTGAACGTCTGTGTGGAAGGCAGCATGTGGGCTTTGCAGGATTATAGAAAAGCTATACGAGGCGGGGTCCCTACTCTAAAAGAGCTTACAGTTTGGTTAGGAAGAGAGGGTGTACCTAGCTGGGAAGTTTATAGTTAAGGTAAGAGCTAGATAAGAGAAAGGGCAGCACTATAGCTGCCCTGCAGCAATGTTTGCTGTTCAAATGAGCCGTGTCAGATCAGTGAGTTTTGTGGGAGGCAGGGAGGAGGGATTTCCTTCAGGCTGGAGTTGTCTGAGAGCCTTGGAGGCTGGGTCGGGATCGGCAAGGCCCAGAAAACAGGAGCAGAGAGCGGGATCTGAGCGAGGTGCAAGAGCATCTGCAACTATGAGTGGATCAGAACCGGGAGAGGTGCACAGGGTGAAGGAGCTGCAGGGTTTGGTTCTATAATTGAATCAGGCTCTCTGGGTGGGGTGTGTGGTCCCACATGGTTCACAGAATAGTGCTTGCACCCTGGCATGAGCAGGGGCCAGGGCCTCGAGGGGACCGGCAGGCCTCTGTAAGCAGGCAGAGAGTGCCTCGACTGTCTCAGCCCAAGTTTATCTGAATAGAACTCCCAGAGCTCATCCTTGGAGGAGGAAAGAGTAGAAGACAGAGCCAAGGCTCATGCCCCACCGCCCACGAAGTCCTGGCGAATGGAGGCTCAGAATGGCATCCGTTTTGCTTTTGAATCCCACATTAGATTTAAATTTACGTGCAAATAGGATGGAGATGAGTCGGAGACTGTACTTGGTCAGTGATCCCACTCTGGGTATTAGGCAGACAAGAGCAAGACAATCTAGAAATGTATCTGGAAAGGTGGGAGAGGTGTTAAGCAGGCTGATAGAGGAACGGGCTTTAGGCCATGAAATGATTTTCAGAGGGAGCGTAACTTAAAGGCGAAGGGAGAACAGTGCCAGGGCAGCGGGGGAGGGCGGCAGAGAGGAATGAGAGCCGCGTTGAAGCCAGTGCGAGATGCTGGGCGCCCTGCGCGTGGACAGGTCCCATCAACAGGGAATGGTGGGGGTGAGAACCTCAGACAAGTGCACTGGTACCTTCAGAGCTTGTACGTGCTAACATGAGGGGTTCAAGGCATTTCTGCAGGGCAGACACCACAGAGTAATGAATTGGCTGTGGTAAGTCTTTCCCAGAACTGTCTGCCTGTGGGCACCCTTGGCCAGGGCAGGGGCAGGTGAGACCTAGCTTTAGGCAGGTCACTCACAGGCGGCTGGACCCTTGAGCCAGCTGAGCTGCTATGAGGCCAGGCCTCTTACGTCCCTGGGACCCTCTCAGTTAAGAGCTAGCCCGTCCTGTTCGAGACGGCTCCTGGGAAATGAGTGGAGAAGTCGCCGGGGCTGATGGCTCTGGGCTCACTGAGGACTCTCCCCAGCCCCCGCCCCCACGCACACGTGTGCCGTGGGGTTTTGAGGACCAGGCAAGAGAGGAGGGTCAGCAGGGGTGTAGAAGTTCACAGCGCAGACGTGACAGTCAGCAGCAGCAATGCCTCATACTGTGTTTGTCTTCTGCAAAAGGGCACCATGCCGGTGGAGAGGATGCGGATGCGCCCGTGGCTGGAGGAGCAGATAAACTCAAATACAATACCAGGGCTCAGGTGGCTTAACAAGGTAAGCGAGATGGGTGCCTGTGTGTGTGTGTGAGAGAGAGAGACACAGAGAGAGCAAATACGTGCCCTCTCCTCTAACTAAAAGCATGTGCCACTCAAAGTAAAATTTCTCTTTGTGTTCAAAATCTTATACCTATTAACTACAAAAAACAGAGCAAAAAAGGTCATAAAAACATCAAGTTACCTAAAGAAGACTTTAATCATCGTCTCAGACTGATGTCAGACCTTGAGCTCATCTTGGGTATTTTATTTTGGACGACTGTTGATGGGCAGCTTCTTGCTGTATTTTTCCTTAAAGACTCTTGGCCTCTTCCTTCTCTAACTTCCTTTCCTCCTTTCCTGACTTCCTAGGATTAGAGGACATGGACGCTCTAGGGCTTTTACACTGGAATGGAACATACTGATTTTCTTTTCAGTATCCTCTTTGTGAAGAAAACTTTTTGTTTTTGTCTTAAAGAATATCTTCTCTTTATCATGAAGCCCTCTATGTGTGCCAGCTTGTCCTAAGAAGTAGTCTGTCATTTGCAATACCCTTTCCCCGCACACACACGTATACATAAATACTCCCTTACTCTATCAATCTCAAACTCTTAATTTAGTTGGTTCTACCTGTTAGTGGTGAATCAGGAAGAAATAAAAATAGAGAACCCTGAAAATATATAGCTACAATGTAGAAAAGCACCGACTATAATCATACCTTTCTTTAAGAGGGGCCAGGGGAGTGGTTTCTCTCCCACTACCAGGAATATTACAGTTTTTCTGAGCAAATTTTTTTGTCTTCTACCTCCCCCCTCATTTTTAATCTCAAGGAAATGATGAATAATTAAGTTGGTCAGGCTGTATCTTTGTATCATGTGCTCAGAGCTTAGAGCCTAATTGTGGAGAGCTTCTAATGAGTTAACTATACAGGATATTGCAGCGTAACTTTTTTCTTTTTTTTATGAATACAACTCCTGGATTTATCTGATCTTTTCAGGTATCTCCCAGATCTCATTTCTTTTTGTTCTTTTTTTCCCTCAGCCAGTTGTTTTTCCAATTATCTTAAATCAATAGCATTTGTTTTAAATGTACAGTTGACCCTTGAGCAACACGGGTTTGAACTGCACAGGTCCACTTTTATACATGGGTTTTTCCCAATAAATATATTGTAACATATTTTGGAGATCTGTGATAATTTGAAAAAACATTCTCTTTTCTCTGGCTTACTTTATTGCAAGAATACAGTATATAAGACACACACAAAATATATGTTGCCTGTTCATGCTCTCAGTAAGGCTTCTGGTTAACCGTAGGCTATTAGTAGTTAAGTTTTGAAGGAGTCAAAAGTTCTACATGGATTTTTGACTGCACAGGGGATCAGCAGCCCTAACCCCCATGTTGTCAAGGGTCACTGTATCTGTTTCAGTGAGTCCTTCCTGAAACAAGGTGCAAGATGAAGTTAATAGAAGTAACTTAAGTAAACCATATGCTCTTTTCATTTGACCTGTCATATACCTTAAGCTCTTATTGCAAACTCCCTGACAGGTCTTATGTCAAAAAAGGGAATAACTTAAGTGAATCATATGCTCATTTCATGTGATCTGTCTTGTACCTTAAGGTCTTATGCCTGGACTGGCAATGTCTTAAGGTCTTGAGGTCTTTTTCAGGTTTGCTCTCTCTATCATGTTTTAGATTTGTATCCTGGAGGGGCTTCGTAATGAGCCTCGTTCAGAGAAACAAACAAGAAATCAGGTGGCACTGTGGCCTGCTTGGTGAGCTGGGGCCCACGTGGAGGTCTAAGGAAAAGGGAAGTGATAGTCAAGGAGAGTGGAAAGACATAGGCTGCTGAATAGCAATGATAAAGGGAATGATAAAACTGATATTAAGTGCCAGGTACTCCTCTACACAAGTCACGTGCATTAATTCATATAATACCCACTCTGGGGTAGATACTGTTATTTTTTCCATTTTACACACAAGGAAACTGAGGCACAGAGAGGTTAAGTAGGATTCTATTTTGAAGAATAAGATTAATTTAGAGTGTGCAATTAAAGCAGATGTTCCTGATTTCTGAAGAGAAGTCAGTGGTTCGGTTTTGCTTTTGCTTTTTTTTAAAACACGGTCACCAGTCTCGGCTGGCTTGATGCACTGGCGAACTTACAATGTCACTGTGTCTCCTGTACCAAGTAGAGCCTTGGCATGTTGCAGATCGTCGTCCTTTGGAATAGTTGAATTGTACCCCCCTCCAAAGATACAACCACATCCTAGCCCCCAGAACCTGGGGATGTGACCTTTCCCTCTCTGCCTGGGAAAAGAACCCATGAGCCATGAGCCGGTTGGGTGCAGCTCAGCAGCGAGAAGGCACCGAGAGGGACTCCCAGGAAAAGGGTCTTTCAGATGGAATTAAGATCCTGGTATGAGATCATCCTGGATTATCTAGCTGGGCCCGTCCGGTGACAAGTGGCCTTATAAGAGAGAAGAGGAGAAGACGTACCCGCAGAGGAGGCGGCCCCGTGAGGCAGGAGGCAGAGACTGGCGGGACGCAGCCACACGCAGGGAACGCCAGGATCACCAGGAGCTGCAGGAGGCCGGGAAAGGTTCTCCTTGGAGCCTTTGAGGGAATGCAGCCCTGCTAAGCTCTTGATGTTTGATTTCTGGAACTGTGACAGAGGAAATATCTGTGTCTGTCAGTCACCCGGTTGTGGCAGTTTGTCACGACAGCACTAGGAAATCCGGGCACGCTCCGAGCGTTGTTTCCTTCCCGGGACTCTGCCCTGAGGCACCTGTCCTTACATCCACTTGATCGTGCTTTCTGGATAGAGAACCAACAAGTAAGCGGATCCCTCGTCCTGTAGCTGAGCGCTCAGCGCCTCTCAGGTGGCTCTCACTGCTGGGCTTCACCCAGCTCACTGGCTCTCGGCTCAGGACTGCTTTCTTCCCAGGCAGTGGGGGAAGGAGACGCCTCTGCCATCCCCAGCTCCTCCGCTAGCTCTGGGCATGAGGCAGGCAGGAGGGAGGGCCTGCCCTTGGCTGCAGCTGTGGTGCTCCTCTGACAATACAGGCACAGGAGCAGGGCTGCCCGCGGGCCCCAGGGGCCTGGCTGGAGCGTGTGTGTGGCTGGGGTCGTGCGTGCTCTCATTGTCCCTGTGATGGCTCTAGGACATTTTCCCTCCATACCTACAACTCCACAGGGCGTCTTTTAGAAAGGTTCCTGCCAAGCGGCTTGTTGGCCTTCTGTGTCCACAGAAGTATTCTAACTGAGACCGTACTATGATTTCCTTCCCATCCATAGCATT